AAAAAATAATTTCCCCCAGGGATCAATAAAGTATTCTGATTCTGATGGTCTGTATCTATGAAGCGCCTTGAGGCGACTTATGTTGTGATTTGGCGCTATATAAATAAAATTGAATTGAGTGCAGACCAGTGCTGCAAGCCCTTTAAACCAGAACCTGCCCCCAGTCTGAAGTCTCCTCCAATCACAACACGAGACACGCTGATGAAAACGTTTATTCGGAGACAGAAACGGCAGTGCTAGCTCACTGCTAATGCGTTCATGTGAATTCACCTTTGATATAAACTTTATATAAACTGTAGACACAAGCCATTGCAGAACAGAAGCTGTTATCACTGCGGCCGCCTGCAGTGCTGCGTCATCACTTCCTGTCCAGCACAGAGCCACATGCTGTTCTCGAGGCTCAGACAGGAAGTGGAAGATGTCTACAGCCGCAGCAGGAGACCTTTGAGGTTCTTCTTCTTCTGTGTTTATTCACCTGTCTGCATGTAATCGTTAGTTATTATTCATCTGTGGCTCTGTCCCACAGCGGGTCTTTGTCCTGTCACCCCGCCCCTCCCTGAGCCTGGTTCTGCTGCAGGTTTCTTCCCGTTTCCTTCCAAGTGCTTGTTCGTTGGGGGTCGTCTGATTTTGGGGTTTTCTCTGTATTATTCTCACCCGTCTGACTGACGCCTACTGTCATCGTCCTGCTGGTGACTTTGAAACACTGAGGCCATGGATGACCTCTGTGACCCCGAGGTGCTTACATCAGGGCTGAAGGATGAAGAGACCCTTAGCTCGAGTCATCAGAGTAAAACCAGCTGCAGTGCACCATGGGTAGTTTGCTGGTTCCGGGTTTATGAGGAGCGATCACACTACACCCGTCCGTATGTGACGACTCCTAATCTATGAGCTTTTCCCTTCAGTGTCACAGGCACTGATTAGCCCGGGTCAAAGGTCAGCTGTTTTAATGAAAGCCTGCAGTAGGGGTGGGTCTAGAGATTTTGACTATGCCGCTCTACTGCGATAGCGCATGTTGATGGTGTCATCAAGCTGCGCCTCTTTTGGTCGAAAGTAGGGCAGGGCGATATGGCCAAAAATATTTATCTCGATATAGATTTGAAAATTGGCAATAACGATATAACTGATGATATAATTGATGAGAGACAAAATGCAACTCCACAACTTTGCTAGCGCAAAAAACCCATGCATTTATTTTCACTTAAACAAGCAGCTGTTTTTATGTGCATTAAACCTATATAAACATTTAACAGTGCAAATGCAAATTCCTTACTGACAGCTTAACCAAAGGCATTTCCAGCAGAAATGGGCTGACATATCCTGAGCATAACCATGTATAATATCCACTGAAGTTAAAAAGAGCTGCTTTGCTACATTAAACTGCAGTGTGCAAAATAAAAAAGTCAAATACGTATTTTTCAGACCATAAGGTGCACGGGATTATAAGACACAAGAAACAGAGCAGTCAGATAAATCAAACTTTATTAAACTCGTTCTTCTTGCTTCCTCCACTTCTGTACCATCGATTCATTAATGCTGTATTCTATCACAGCTGCTCTATTCCCATGTTGTTGCAGTATATGAATGACTAACCTCGTATTGTGGATGGATTATCTCAGTTGTTCTCCTGACTGAAGTTTGGTCCGTTTACAGCATCCTGCCATGTGATTGCATTTTTCTTTAACCATGAAAAACCTTCACGTTAACTTTTATAAGTGGAAAAGTGTTAGTGTTCATCCTCCAGCTTCACTGTTTATGTTATGCTAACATAGCTGTGTCGCTAGCGATCACGTAGCACATCATTATATACCAGCTAGCCCAACTTCAGTAACCCTACAAACGTCACTGCTGTTTAGTTTCTGTCTTCATTTATGTTGGAAGTGATAGCAGAGCTGTACGTTTGAATTTTTCAGAAATCTCTCAGTCAGAACATGCTATATCATGTTTAGGTGGAAGCAGCGAGCTAACTTCCTGCTAACTTCTAACTCTGTTAAATGTAATAAATTCTGTTTTCATGGATTTTTAACTCTCAGTGTTTGTTTGACTTTGGGACCTGAAGCCGACGGAGTTTAGGACCCAGATTACTCCACCAGGCTCTTGACTACGGCAGCCGTAATGCTCCAACAATCCATCCAGCGGTGCGGCTTCGTAGCAAAGTCGCACTAAAACATTTGTCAGATGTTTTAGCACCGTGCACATAAAATTAGTTCGAGGTCAGTAAGCACAACCAGATTTCATACATAAGGCACTCTGTCGATTTTTGAGTCAATTAAAGGATTTTAAGTGCGCGTAAAATACGTTATACAGAAGAAAAGAATATATCGCGATATATATCGTTACCACACATGTTTCAGATTACACTGTGATATGGATTTTAGGCCATCACTACACCCAGCCCTTGTCAGGTTAAGGCTGTGTGCAGGCAGGAGTGGAAGTAGAAGGACCCAATGTGCAGACACTCGGAGGCGGAAAGTAACTCAAAACTCAGCTTTTATTGCTGGATGGCAAAAGGTGGCAAACGTAACAAAAATCCAAAATCCAAATAAACTTACATGAACAGGCAGACGGAACACACAGCATACATGAGAGTAGATCACGACACAGAAACACCGGGCTTAAATACACAGAGGGAGCAATCAGGGAATGGGTAACAGGAGGGAGACACAGCTGGGGCAAATCAGGCTTAACGAGACAAAGGAAGCAAAACCAGACACATTAACATCAGACATGGACTTTCAAAGTAAAACAGGAAACATAACAGACTCACAGGCAGGCACTATAACAAAGGGAACAGAGACGTGGGACCAGAGCAGACACTGACTGGATGTGGGGAGACAGCAACTATGGAACACAGACAGAAAAGCAGAACACTAAAACTCTAACCAACCCCACCCAGAGACCCTTAACTAAGAATTATCCTAAAACCCGTAAAGCAAAGCTAGAATATAATGAAATAACAAAATCAAAGAACCAAAAACACAAAACACTGGGCCAACGACCCGGGGACCCTAACAGCCCTAGCCTGCAGCAGGTTGTGTGCCGTCGCGCCGTGATCAGAGTGATGCGATATCGGCGCTCCGATTGCGTTTCTCTAACATCATCGCAGATCTCTGTCCATCTACAGAGACGAGGATGAAAACAGTCGGCCATGTTTGGTTTTCTCCGCGGAGCCGTTCACGCCCCACGATGACGTTTATTAATCACATGGTTATGAAACAATAACCTGAAGCTACAGAGCGCCGCGTCACAGTCGCACACACGTGACAGTTCTCAGAGTTCAGTTCTGCGCCGTCAAACCTGTCAGCACACGGCTCTTCAAACTTCCTGTATCCAGATTACTTCCTTTGACGTGCCGTAAGCTTCGCCAACGTGCTGCCGTTTGTCTTTAAACGTCTGCTGAGTGTCAGGAGGCCGCAGCTGCTCGCCGTGGCTCTGAAAGCTCCGCCTCCAGGCTCGCAGCTTCACCTGTCAGTCGCAGTGGCTGCTGTAGCTAGGCAACCAAGCACCTCCAGGCTGCAGCAGCTGCTGTCAACCTCCTGGAGGAGGCGCTGAGAGAGAAACGGATCAGATCAGATTTCTGAGTTTGTGGCGTCGGTACAATCAATAATTTACACTGATCGATTATCTATCACTACAACCAGCATGCAAACTCCACCCCCTCCACATTAAACAGCAGCTTTTCAAGTTCATCTGAGAGACTCAGAGGGGAAACTCAAAACAGGAAGGGGTTGGCCAGATGTTAAGCAAGGATAACACTTTCAAATTAAGAGCATGAAGGTTCAGTGTAAACACACTTGAGTGTGCAACACGTTTCTGTCCTCATAATTTTATCAAATCAGCTTCACACGACAGCAAAAAGAGCACAGAACACGCTGACACACGCCAGTACTCTGATTACTCCGAGGCCTTTAATGTACTCTGATAATAAATATGAATATGAATAAGAAAACATATATTACAATATTCATTCATGACAAATAAACAGGAGGCTACGACTCAGATTACAATCCTGAACTCACAAGAAACACTGCAGGATGATGACATCATGAAGCGTCACGCAACAGGTGACTCACCTGCACGTGTCCGTGTGAGGCGGCGTCCAGCAGCCGGAGGCAGGCGGCGCTTTCATCCATCAGCTGCCGTCTGAGCGAATCACAGAGCTCCGAGTCCGAGGAGACGTCAACCATCAGCCGCAGCAAGCAACGCAGCAACACGTCGACACGACACGCCATCCTGACGAGGGGAAACACGCGAGCACGTCATACGGGACGGTCCAACGCCATCAGGACAGGAAGTAAGTAAAAGCTTCAAACTCGCAGCCGTGTGTGAGCGTGCGTGTGTGTCTATGTGTGTGATCGTGTCCGTTACCGTGGCCACGCCGCTCTGGTCGTCTTCTGCAGCGCCTCCAGCATCCTCAGCCGGTTCGCCTCCTCAGGTGGGTCCCTGACCTCCAGGTACCCGAGCACCACCCGCTCTAGCCGCCACAGGTGTCTGCACACAGCCACGCCCACCCTGCGCGCGCGCGCGCACACACACACACACACACACAACACACACACACACACACACACACACACACACACACACACACACAGGTGTGTATTCATATCCTTGTGGGGACATCTCATTGACATATGTTTTTCTTAGCTGCTTCCAGTAACCATCAAACATGAATGCCCAACCATAACCCGACTGTAACACTAAAACCACAGTTTGGCTTCAGACTCGCGGCGATTCATGCAGCTGGAAAACATTCAAACTGTTCTGAGATCAGACTGAAGCAGCGGCGCCCCCTGCAGGCAGAACAACAACGAGCTCTGAAGTCTGATCATCTACAAATTCATAAAAGACTTTTCTGTTTTAATCACAGCTGAGTCATCAAAGCACGACTGAAAACATTTAATTAAAACCGAAAAAAATGAATCATTACAACGCTAAAAAATAAATACACGCATTTATCATTTCTACATTATTTTATAAATAATTAAATGTATTATAAGTGGGTTTAATATTTACATACAAATGTTTTTCTATAGTAACAGGTAAAAATACATTATCAATAAAATATATCACTTCACAGTAATTAATGTAACCTGTAGCATCGTATATTAAATATGAAATCATGAAATTATGATTAAATATATTTAAAGTAAAATGAAACAAATTACTCATAATTTAATGTGATGAGCCATATATAGTTTAGATATAAAAATATACAAATAATTAAAAATTAAAACGTTTATATTTGTCATTCATAATTAATTATACAAAAATACAAATGATAATTTCTTAAAAACATTTTAGATACAATCAACATCAACTTTAACACTTTAGTACAATATCGTGAACTGATAATAACAATAAATGTGATCATTATAATGAACAGATAATATTAATAGAGTTTGTTTAATGTGTCACATTTTCATCCAGATAAATTAAATCACTGATGCTTCCATAGTAACCAAAGGTCAAAGGTCAAACCCACCTGTCGATGTACGCCGGCAGAGCAGCAGCATAGACGCGTCGTAGCACCACCTTGTTCTCCGCCTCCATGTGGATCAGCATGAGACGCAGCACGTCGTCATGGCGACACGGCTTCCTGCGGGAGGAGGTGGAAGAGGAGGGGGGCTTCTCCAGAACCACCAGCAGGTCCAAGAGGCAGGACAGGACCAGCTGGGTGGGAGGGGGCGGGGTCAGTGACGTGTCATCAGACAGAGACAGAGTCTGTGTGTGTGTGTGCTACCTGGATGACGGCGGCCTCAGTCCTGTACAGGTGTTTGAATAACGCCTCATAAAGAACCTCGGCTCTGTTGAACTGATGCAGCTCTGCAGGCGGCTAAAGACACAAACACACACACACACACACACACATACCATCATCATCCAATGCCAGACACGACGCTGAGTGTGTTTATGTGCATGTTTTTACCGTGTTGAGCACGATATGGTGCAGACAGCGAACTCCCAGCATGCAGTTCTCCAGTCTGTGGTGGTCACTGAAGAGGAGGGAGGGGGGAAGGAGGCGGGACAGGTGAGGTGAGAGTCCTGGGCGGGTCACCTGCACCAAACACCAACACACAGGTGAAGACAGAGCACCTGATGGGTCAATCAGCTCCAACCTGTTTCACAGAGGAACTACTTTCTGTCCACTGTCTCCATCCGCCAGCCAAAACATACGCAGCGAGATGGGAGGGCCGTTTGCCTCCCGTCAGGCTTTATCCTGCTCAGCGATGCGGCTGGCTGATGGAGACAGTAGAAAGGAAATAGTTCCTACATGGAGGCTGGAGAAGAAGGTGTGTATGAGAATGAAGCGCACTTCATAAAAGACACCTGCCTCACCGCAGTCCTACACTTCTGCCTTCACAGTCTCACCTGTTCGGACCTTACCACCCTCACAGGTAAGCGGGGGACGATCAAAGCATAAGCAACCAAAAATATCTTTAAACACGGGTTGAAGGGGGAGCCTGGCTCCTGCTGACCTCATGCAAACGTATCTCATTCAACATCTTCAAGTGGCATCGAGAACGCTCCAGAAAAGAGCAGAAAGAGGTCAAAGGTCAAACTGACCTGCAGAAGACTCCAGGCAAACACCAGCTTCACGGCTTCACAGCGCTGCCACGAGTCCCTGCTCACACACACACAGACACTTAAATATTCAACAAACTTGTTTTTGTCTTTTAATCACAGAAAAAATAACGAGCTAGCCAATCACACAAACACAGTTTGAACCAAGTGGAGCTCAGAGCGCTGAACATGCATGTTTTAGAATTTCATGTGAGGACGTTTGTACAGAGCAGACATCCCTGCACTCTCTGTGGGAAGAAGGCCAAGGTCCTCACAATGTGGCTGTTCCATCAGGGACTGGTCCTCCTAAGTGATGGAAAGCAAGTGTACACACACACACACACTCTCACTTGGTGAGCTGTGGCTGCAGGATGTCCAGGACTCCTCCCAGAATCCCTCTGCTCCCCTCCGTGTCCCCAGTCAGCAGGTGGGCGGAGTCTCTCCACCCTCCTGCACTCAGCAGCGTCTCCAGCAGGCCCTGTGCTGCTGCTCTGGAGGCGGAGCTAGTCCACACCTGATCCTGATGAACAAAAGCACACTGGAAATCAAACAGCTGTCAGTGAATGCATCACGGGGTCAGACAGGAAGTACCTGTGCTGCAAAGGTGTGTGTTTGATGTTTGCAGACTCACCTGGAAATGTGTGACAGCAAACACGCAGGTGGGTGGAGCAACAGCAAGTAGCAGACTGGTTGTCCGTTCTCTGGCCTCGCCCCCTTTCCGCCTGTCACCCAGAGTTGTTAGCAGAGCCGTGAGAGCGGCACACACCGCCGCTGCCTGTGTGGGGATGCTCTGATAGGCCGCAGCGCTCAGAGGGCTGCAGTCATCCTCACAGAGCGGCAGAGCAGCACAGCCAATCAGAGCACTGATCAGAGA